GAAAAGACGCAAAAGCACGGAGCTCACTGCCTGCCTCTGCTCAAGGCCCCCCGCCTTGAATTTGGAGGCTCTGGGAGGCACAAAATAGAGGCCACTGGTTCCAGAAACACCAGCAGAGTCAAGAACACTTGCTGGCCCTCTGCCCCACTGGCAGGCTCTCTGTGTGCAGCAAACTGGCAACGGCAGGGCGGGGCTGTGGGGTTCCCGGTGTTCTCAAGCCACACAGCCCAGCAGCTGGCCTCCTTCCACGCCCTTTCCTTCCTTCTACCCCGCGTCCCAGGGTGGCCATTCCGACTCAGCAGAGGGCCCTCTTGCCAGAGGCAGCGCTGTGACCGGGCAGAGGAGAGCACCTCGGAGTTGGGCAGACCTGGGTGCCAGGCCTGCCTGTGGCATCTCTCGCCTGTGTGTAGCTTCCTGAGGACCCGTTTCCTCCGCGCGGAAATGGGGTCCATGCCAGCAGCCCGGCAGGGCTGCGTGTGCAGACTCTCAGTGCTGAACGTTAAGGGGCTAATCGCCACACCGGGCTGGGGCGGGTGCCTGTGACGGCGGCGTCTGCCAAGCTCCAGGTGGGGGCCCTGACCGCCCTCTGCATCACCGTGAGTCTGGACACCACGTGGGCCCCTTACCAGCTCTGCTCTAAGTCAAGTCACCCGTTAAGATGGGTTTTACTGCTTGTCCCTGAGTGGCACCGCAGCACGGAAGTGGACATGCCGAGCTGGCCCTCAGCAGCCCCTGTCCAGCCTCCCGCCAGTGTCTGCGGAGGCATCTCCCAGAATCCCTTGTGGCTAAAGTTCAGGATTCATGAGGGGTTCCCTAATTTGAAGAGAAGAATCAAGGTGGGGCCCAGCACCCTTCTGCTGCTTTAGGTGCATTCCTGTCGAAGCAGGGCACCCATGCCTGGGCACTAGGCGAGGGGGCATCAGAGCCAACCCTGGAGGCCCGACCAGCATCCCAGTGTCCAGTTCACGTTGCTATGGGAGTCAGGACACAGCTGTGGCAGTGGCCTCCTGGTCGCCACCCCACAGGTCTGGTGCCGAGTTCTTGACCTCAACAGTTCTGACGCATCCTGGCTCCGGTGCGTTGGCAGTGCCAACCAGATCAGGGCGGGCTCTGGAGTCACTGCCAGCGCCTAGATTAAAGCGCCCTTCCCATGGCTGTGGAAGGCGCCCGTGCCTCTGTATTCCCATTTTCGCTGCATCTGAGACGGGCTACATGCTTCATCTCATAATGCTGCCTGGGGCACTTGTCACAGACACCTGCAGGGGTACAGGCATGCGCGCGCTCAGCCCCTCTTCCCTTAGAACCACACTCCTAGGGGCCACCGAAGCCATGTTGGCCAGCGCAGCCAAGTGACCGAGGCTGGTGATATTTTTCTCTCTCTCAGGACTTTAGAACTGAGATGCAATGCCAGTGAGCTAACTTAGGGAGCTGGGGCTGCCATGCATCAGCCTGGGGCCAGGGGAGGCCACAGTCGGCCATACGGACCAACCGTCAATCTGAGGAAGCCAGGCAGCAGCCAAGGAACAGAACGAGACAGGCGCGTGTGGGGAAACGGAGAGCCAGGAAGAGTCTGGACACCCACCGAGGCCCTGAGTCAGCCCTGGTGAGGCCAGCTGTGCCGCTCTCCTTGGGATCCCTAACACTCCCAGCCCATCCTTATTTTTAAAAATGTTCCCCCCTTCAGGTCAAGGGAACTGTGCGGGCTTCTGCTGCTGGCAGGTGGAGAGGCTTCAGGACCCAGCTCATGTCTGCCGCAAGGGAGGTCCTGGCCTCCCTTGTCTGCTCGCACTGAGCTGGCCTGGCTGCGGGGACTTCATGGAGTGGATTCCAGGGCAGGTGGCCCAGATATCTGTTTCTGTCTAGTTGAGACTGTCCCTTGGGCAAGTCCTTGCCCCTCTTTGGGACTCAGATTCCCACTTTGGAATATGAAGGCTGGTTTAAAATGACAAAATCTGCCCTGGTAGGGTAGCTCAGTTGGTTAGAGCATCGTCCCGGTATGCCAGGGTTGTGGGTTCGAACCTTGGTCAGGGCACGTACAGGAAGCAACCAAATGAACGCATCAATAAGCAGAACAGTAAATCAACATTTCTCTCTCTTCCCCTTCCCCTCTCTAAAATCAGGTTTTAAAAAATTTCCAAGACCCCTTTTAATCCTAGTCTTCAGAGTTTGTTGCCAACCACAAAGAACTCGGAGGAAAATTGCTTTCATTTAGATTTTTTAAAAAAATTGAGTCTCTTTCTCCACTGTGATCTATTAGCTGTTTTTATAAATCACTCATATCCAGAAAGTGGAAATAATCCAAATTTCCATCAATTGATGAGTAAGTTAATATAGTATTATTCAGCCATACAAATGAATGAGGCACTGATACACGCTAAACTATGGATAAATCTTGCAAACATCATGCTAAGCAGCAGCAGCCAATCACAAAAGGCCATAGGCTGAATGATTCCATTTACATGAAATGTCCAGAATAGATAAATCCGAAGAGACAGAAAGTAAAAGGAGATGGGAATAATTGCTAATGGGTAAAGGATTTCTTTCAGGGGTGAGAATATGTTCTAAAACTGATTGTGGTGATAGTCACACAACTTTGTGGAAAGCGCTCAACTGTGTAATTTGTGCATTGCCCCATAACTGGGCTTAGAGACAGGACACTGGCCTCTCTCGGGCCAGGAAGGTGCTTTCGAGGAAGAGGGGGTGGGACGAGAACACGCCCCAAACGCTCTGGAAATGCTCAGGTTGCCCGTGCTGAGTTGTATTATAATAAAGGAAGGGAAGAGTTAGGGCTGCCACCCAAGGCCTGATGAGACTGTGTTAGGTCCCCTGCGCCCAGGAATCAACTCAATTCAACGCGGTTCACCTGATCCAGACACAAGGCATCTGGCATCCTGTGTATGAGCCAGGACAGAGGCAAGTGCTCCCCCATGGGCTCCAAAGGAAAGGAGCTGCACCCACTGGCTGGTGACAGGGTGGCCCCCCGCGCACCTCACGTCACAGAACAAGCATGTCTGGGGTCAGAATGCTGCTGTGCAAATCCCAGCTCTGCCCCTTCCTCGCGTGGGACCCTGGGCAACTGAACCTGTCTGTGCCTGAGTTTCTTCAGCTGGGAAGTAATAACAGGGAATCATGAAAACTCAGTGAGTCACCGTATTTTGCTGTGTATAATGCGCGCCCACATTTATGTGCGCATTATACACGGGATTATTATACCCATGGTATGTAATCTTATACCCACGTGTAATCCATGCACATCCTTATTTTTCCCTCAAAAATTTGGGCAAAAAACTGCATTATACAAGACAAAATACGGTAATACGTATCTGTAAAGCACCCTGCCTGGTCCACAGTAAGTTCACAGTAAGTTTTACCTCCTGTTCAAGAACCTCCGGGGTCTGAACTTTGGTAACACACAGAGTTGCCCCAGGTTCTCCACTGAAGTGGGATGAACTATATTGCAGGTCCAGGGTACACATGTATATATCTAAGGCCATTCGTCCCCTGAGTCACTACCAAGGCCATTTGCCCCCATGTGCTTGCCCTGAGGCTTGTGGTCTGGGACTGGGATGCTGCTGGTGACGGCGCAAGTCCCTGAAGGCGCTCACAGCTCGCGAAGCTCAGGGTGGAAGAGAGGCTGCCCACCTAACGGCTGCGTGACTCGGGAAGTTGGTTGCCTCCCCAAGCCTCAGTTTCCCTCTCTGAAATGCAGATAATGAGAATGCCTCCCTCACAAGGCAGCGGCGAGGACGAAATTAGAGCGCACCGAAAAGCAGCAGGCACACAGCCCCGTCTGTCCCCACCCCTGCTTCTCCGGTCCAGGAGAGGAAGAGGAGGAAGTGACTTGTGGTTTCCATGGGTAACACCTGGAAACACATCCGCAGGGACACAAAGGGAGCTTTCACCAGGGACAAACACTGGGCAGAAGCTCACCACTCTTGGCTCTGTGACGACCAGAAGAATGTCCTGCAGCCTCCGGCCTAAGGAGGATGGTGGACTGACTGCAACAGGAAGTCGTGGCCCACCAGGAAGGGCAGAAGTCCCTGCCCAGGGACTCCGGGACACAGAGACCCCGGGAGCTATCTGGTCCCAGCCCTTGCAAGGCAGCAGCATTCTGGGCAGGAGGGTCCCCTCAGGGAGCTAGAGCTGATTCCCATTCCTCTGAAGAGCGCCAGATCGAGGGGCAAGCGGTGGGGGTGGCTGGCCCTGGGGTCCACCCCACCCAATCCCACCAGACTCAAGGTTTCAAGGAAATGGAGATGAGGGGTCCTCACAGGCAGCCACCTCACATCATAGAATAATAGCTGCCAAGGGCACATGGCTTTGCTGGTTTACTGTAGAGCCTGGGACTGCCTGTAGCCTCAGGACCGGAGTCAGATGAAGTGGCTCGTGGGAGGTGGTGGCTGTGGCCCCATCAGGCTTCACAGCTGTGAAATGGGGGCTGTGCCGCCCGCCTCCTGGGGCCGGAGAGCAGAACTCACGGAGCAGAAGCTCCTCCTCAGGCCCACCCAAGGCAGGCTCAGCTGCTTCCTGGACCATGCTGCAGCGACATGTGGCCCTCCCTGGCACCTGGTGGCCGAGACTCAGACCCCTTCTGCCTTCTGGTCAGCAGAGGAAGGGTCTGGGGAAGGACCTGAACCCCTTAATGAGGAGATGGATGTCATTTTTGGGGTCCGCCCTTCCTGTGAAAGGAGGCTGGCAGGAGCAGCATTTCTAACCCGGCCAGGCCCCAGGAACACCCAGAGAAGGCCTGAAAATGCCAGTTCCCAGGCCCCACTCCAGGCTCTTCGTTTTGGAACCTGATCCTGAATTTGGGGAAGAGCCCCTGGGTAGCTGTGATCAGCAAGCTCTGGAGACTCTAATCCAAAAACTCCGAGGAAGCCCTGTGATCCCAAATAGAGCCTCTATTTTCAAGACAAAGCATGGTGGCAGAGGAGGGGGCGGGGGCGGCCTGACGGGACCCGGCCAGCACAGCCCGAGGGCCCTGCGCCCCCAGAACTCACCGGGCACGGAGAAGGGGGACAGGAAGACAGCCTCGACCGGCTCCGGCTCCGGGGGTGGTGGCGGGGGCGGCGGTGGCTGCTCCTGCTCCCGTTGGGGCTCCTCTGGGTTTTCCAGGGGAACATTCCCATTTTTGATGTTTTCATGCCTCCCGTTTTGGAGTGGCTTTCTGCTCACCCCGTTCGCTGAGTTGATCAGTCTCTGCCTCTGTGTAGACAGGGGACAAGGCACCAGCTGTATTACACTGTCCTTTCACACGCACACAGCCCTCAAAGGTGTCTAGAACACACCCCCCCGGAGATCAGTTTGCCTTTGAATGACCCAAATGCCTTGGGATCCACCTAAGTTTGCTGAGCCCCTTTTGGACCGATGCCAGCAAGCCTTTCGGGAATGGTCAGAGGCCTGGCCACCTCCTCTTGGTGTCAACTTGAAAACCCAGCCCCTGACACCGATGACTGATTATTCTGGCTCCTCTCATGGACATTCACAAGCCACCTGATGATAGTCACAGGGGAGGCCTTGCATGTTTTCTTAGTTAAAAAAATTTGTAAGTATACCATGCAAAACGTGTACTTACGTTAAGTGTAGAGCTCAGCAACGTTTTATGTGAAGATGTAGAACATTTCCAGCCCCTCATAAGACTCTCTCAGACACTTCCGTAGTCTGTGTGTCCCCTCTCTCCAAAGCTAACCAAAGTAACCACTGACTTTTAGAAACAAAAATTAGTTTTTCCTGAACTTGACCTTCATATAAATGAATTCAAATTGCATATACTACTTTAAGTCTGGCTTTTTTTTCACTGAACCTAATAGCCGTGAGAGTCATCCATGTTGTTGTATAACTCAGCAGGCTGTTATTTTTCGTGGCTGTATAGTATTCCCTTGTAGAAATAACCTGCAATGTATCCTTTGCCTGCTGATGGGTACTTGGGTTGTTTCCCCTTTTCAGTTATTATGGAGAGTGCTGCCATGAACATTTGTGTATGTGTCTTTAAGTGGACAGAAGCACTCATTTCTCTTTACTTGAGTAGAATTGCCTGGTTATAAGGTAGGTGCACATTGAACCATTTTACACTTGTACCAGCAAGGGTTAGGATTTCAGTTGTTTCCTATCCTTGTCAATACTTAATATTATCAGTCCTTTTAACTTTAGCCATTCTGGTGGGTATACGGTGGTATCTGATCATGCATTTCCCCAGAGGCTAATGATGTTGAGCATCTTACTGCGTTACTGGCCGTGTGGCTAGCCTCTGCTGCCCAAGTCTTCTGTCATGTCCAATGTGTGTGTTCTGAACCAAACGGCCCACTTCTCTCCCCTGGCTCATTCTACCTACTGACAAGGCCAGCTCTTTCCACCCGAGCAGAAGCCGATCTCCCTCGCCAACTCTGTGGGTTTCTGCTAAACCAGGGCACGGCAGAGGCTTCATTTCAAAAAATCAACAGGTTTCTACATTCCTAAGAGTCTGCTTGCCTTTGCACAGCTCACCTTTATCTGGTTCTCACACAACAATATTTATGAATCAGCCCTGGCTGGTGTGGCTCAGTGGATTGAGCACCAGACTACGAAGCAAAGTGTCGCCAGTTCAACTCCCAGTCAGGGCACGTGCCTGGGTTGCGGCAGGTCCCCCAGTGGGGGGGTGCATGGGAGGCAACCACACATCAATGTTTCTCTCTCTCTCTCTTTCTCCCGCCCTTCCCCTCTCTCTAAAAATAGATAAATAAAATCTTTAAAAAATTATTTATGAATCAGCTTTTGGCCCTGTGGGTAATGATCACCACACAATGGACACCCCCCCACCTTAGTACTTCAGCAGGAAACCAAGAATCAGTAAACATGTCCAAGGCAATACTCTATCAGGGTGTGCCTGACACCCAGCCTTGTGTTTATAAGGAGTTTAAAAAACAAACAAACAAAAAAAACCCCTCAGTATTACTTGACGTGGAAGCATGTTATTCCTTTAATTCCTTTAAAAGAAATAGGAATCAACCATTTGCCCACCTTCATGTCAGTTTCAGGTAGGGACTCCTCAACCATGAAGCCTAGGGTAGAAATCAAAAAATGTTTTTCCTACGCTTACACCACCAAAAAGAGCAAAGTCCTCTGTGCCTGAGACTCAGGCGTGGAGGCCTAATATTTTTGCCCCACAAGCAGGGTTAAACAACAGGTCATCTTTGTAGGAAAAAAGCCACTACCCAGCTGTGCAAAGACAGAATTGCAAGGTGGGGGGCATAACTTAATAGTACACGGACAGTAGCAATGGGGGGGGGTCATAACTCTAAATTAATAGGAATAAAGAGAAAACTGTATCTGAAAGAAGGATCTAAAGCTACCTGAGGTTATATTAAGAGAGGCATAGATTACAACACAAAGGAGGTGCTGGGTCCACACGCTGAGAAAGACAACCCAGGAAGTTTCCTTAGGAGAGTAACCAGATGGAGAGGACAGGAGCCCTGTCACACCAGGAAGGTGGGCGGTTCCAAGGACATTTAGATTCAAGGAGAAAACTGGGGGTGGCAATTGCTGCCTAATGTTCAAAGGGTGGCCACATGGAAGAGGCACTAACAACCAGCTCACACAGCAGCTGGATATTACAGAGGGAAAAAAGATACAGAAGGAGGGGCACAGGGGACGTGAGATAGATTGGCCCCTAAGAACCTGTGCTGCCTAGACTCAGGTTTCTGTCAGAAGTCCTATTCAGCCCTCTTATTTCAACTCTCCGATAGATCAATTGGAAATATCACCATCTTCCCCAGAAAGTCATTAAGAGGATTAATGCTGTAACACAGGTAAAACACCCAGCACCTGCTGAGCACACAGTAGGTGCTGAGAAAATTAGTTACTTGTACCAGCTCAAAATGACTGGCATCCAGGTGTGAGCGAAGGAGGAGAGCTTTGTGGGGATGAAGCAGGTGGGTGACCAGGTGAGACCGGCTCCCAAGGAGGGAGAGAACCTGAGGGGGGAGCTCTAGTCGCCTTGACAATTCAGCGCTGTGGCCGGGGGTGAGGACAGTCAAGTCAGGCAGGAGGTAACCCTGGAGCGAAGGGCAAACCGAGCCCTCCCCCCACGCCCCTGCCAGCCCCTTTCGACGAGCACACCCCCAGTGCGATTTCTCTGTGCCGATGAGCAAATAAGGGCTCCCATCCCATTGGCACTGCTACTGTGGATTAACTGTAGCTTTGCAAACTTTTCTGTGACATTGGGGAAGTAAAAGGACTGAAGAGGAAATGAGACCAAAGGGTCTTAACAACCTTGAAACTGGCCAACTGGGGCGGGGTTGGGGGGGGGCCTTATTCTCCCTCATCCCCCTTCCAGGGGGAATTTCCCCAAAGACACTGCTTAGCCTCGAGATGTCGCCTTTCCATTGTGTGTCAGGAAATTCCCAGGGCTGGAAACGACCTGCCCAACACCCTCACACACAGAAACGGAGGCCCAGGAAGACTGGGTTAATGTCTAATGTGAGACAAAAACTCAGAATTTCCTCCGCAATCCCAGCACGCAGGAAAACAAGGTTTTCCCAGCCACTTAAAACATTCGGAGGCCTGACAGCCAGTGTTTTGCCAGCTGATCAAAACCCATTATTTCATATTCCTGCCTGCGTGTGCCATGGAAATATACTATAAACCCAAATCCCCAAATCCCCAGGAGTGATTCAAACCCCCTCGCCCCCCAACACCGGTGGGTACCATTATCACGCTCATAAAAAGGCCAGGGTTCAGTAAGATTTCACTGGTTTAAATTTTACCAATTTGGGCCAAACAAAATGATTCAGAATGATTCAAAGTTTGCAATGTTTTCCTTTCTTCATACACCTTCCACAGAGAAGGCACATTGCATATGAAATCAAAGTAAAAATGTTCAAAATACAGAAACCTGAAGCACTGTGCAAGCCCACTCTTGCATATAATTGACCTGCTCCCTACCAATTATTTGTTATCGAAGTTTCAAGGTCTCTAGTAACTACCTGGGTCTGAGGATAAGGACCTAAAACTCTAATATGCAGCAAAGATCAGAAAAGCTGGTAACAAAAAGCTGTGACCTTTGCTATACTGTTTGCACGTTAAATAATAGCAAACTTAAAACTTCTTCAAATTAGAAAGAGATGAGGTGCAAAATCTAAGCATGACCACGAGGGTACAGAGTGAAAAGAAGTCCCCAGTGGTAACTGCCAGCCACCCGTGTCTCAGTTTCCCTCCGGAGCGAACAGGTGTGTGCTCATCTTTCCCCCTCCAGATAACATTTAGACTGGCCTTTCTCCAGTTACTTTTATTCTAGTGCCTGCCTGACAAAACACTTAAACACTTAGCGAAACACCTCAGCATCACATCGATTGCTGTCTGCCTTAAAATTGCCTCTGATTGGATCTTTCGTTGCTTGCGGCGATGCTCAGGCTTCCTTCCCACACGGGTGAGGTGCCCAGTGCCAGCGTAGCAGAGCACACTCTGCTGGCTCAGCCCCAGGAAGTGCCCTGAGGAGCCAGGGTCTCCTCAAGGTATCAGAGCCCGGCTAAGGCCACTCACACTCATGGTCCTTTAAGCAAACTTACCTCGTTAATGATGATCCTGCTGGCCATCCGCAGTCGGGTCCTGGGCCCAAACTTATTGGTGATCATGATGCGTAAGCCCGCCTCCGGGAAGCTGAACTTCGGGGGGCTGGCGCTCATGACCTCGTCCACCATCACCACTGGGTTTTTGCTGTACTGGGGCTCCTCCTTCACTGTATGGAGCACAATGCCCTGATTAATGCCGACATCCCCTGGGGACGACACCTGAGTGCTGGGGCGACCGCCCGCCTGCCCCTCTTAGGCAGACTTCTCGGGCTGAGGTCTCGGCAGCTGGCGGCCACCTGGGAGCCTGGCTTCAGCTCCTCCCACCAGTCAAGTGGCCACTGGCTCTGAAGCCCCTGCCGACTTGAAGAATGAGATGCAGCCGCTTCACATCTAGCCCCTGCCACTCAGTGGCCCCTCTCTTCTGGGGCCCAGCCTTGGCTGAGTGCGAGGATCTTTCAGTTCCTAATCTAAGCCTCCCTGGGCAGCCCACCTGTGACTGTGAAGGGACCTTGCTTTCTCCTGATGACAGAGGCTCCAGGGGCCCCCTGGGATGGAACATGCCGGAAAGCGCCAGAGGGCACTGGCTCTAAACTTCTCACAAGACCACCTGCTCTGTCTTGGAGGGACCACCTGCACCCGGCACCGAAGGCTGCTTCTGGCTTTGTTCTCCTTGCGGCAGGCAGGGAGGGCAAGGGCTGGGTCCACAGGCCCTGGATGAGGCGACTCAGCCTCCAGGACAGCCTGCTCGCTGAGGCTGCACAGGGAGCTACTGGCCGAGCCCAGTGTCGCTGGGAAACCTGTCACCCTCCAGCAGGGAGGCCGCTGTCTCTGACCCTATGCATCTCCTCATGAGGCTGAAGAACAAAGTCCCCGAGGCCCCAGCCCTCTCCCCTGCTACCTTCCCGAACACGCTCAGGGCAGAAGTCCTGGAAGATCGGACATCTAACCCCAGAGCCCCGGAGGGCCCTGGTGACAGAACCACTCAGAGAACACAGCACACAGAAGCAGGTGGCTTCCCCTCGGAAGGGCTGCTAAAGCAGATGCTCTCGTCCCTCTGCACTGGCCACCCGCTCCCGGCGAGCGTCCTTCCTGGGCAACAGGGTAACTAGGAGTAGCCAGGGCGAACCCCGTGAGAGTTAATGGCACAAACAGGAACAAATGCACACCAGGCACACCCCCTTACCCAACAGGCAGCAAGGCTCAGCAGACAGGAGGCGGGCGGGTTAGAAACAGAGCCAGGAGGACCATGCATTTGTCGGAGATGGACACGGACCTTCGACAGGCGTGCGCTGGGCTCGTGGATTGGTTTTTTCAATGCAAGTGTTATCACTTGGATAGAAGCAGATTACTTACAATTTAGAAGAGGAGAAGAGTTAAGGAGATAAAGGCCAACAGAGATCGCCAGAGGTGATGAGCGTGTGGTGGATGCCGAGAGTCTGACGCAGCATTCCCGATGGTGGCCAAGATGCCAGGGGGTTATTTGATGGGGGAGCGGAGTGTTAGTAGAGGGGCTGCTGCTATGCAGACTTCAGTGCTTGGAGCCTCTGGCCTTCGGGATGGCCCCTCTCCTGGCTGGATTCCCTGGCTCGGTCCCACTCTGAGGGGCGGGAGCCCTTGTGCCTACTACCCCTCCTCACTGCAGGAAAGCCCAGACCCCTCCCTCTGGACCCGCTGTCTGTCTCAGAGGAAGGCGGGAACCAGCAGAACAGCTGCCTAGGGCACAGCGGGGCTCAGAGGGAGGGAGCGCAGAGTGTCGGCCTTCAAGGCACGACACATGACACCTGGGTATCTTGTCCTGCTGCTGCCTACTCAGTGGCAGCACAGGGCAGTGCTTCCAGGCCAAGGATGGCCGCTCAGAAGGCAACTCAGTTATAGAAGGGTTCCCAACAGTTCAGCCCAAGGCCAGGTATCGCCCCCTTATTCCTGGCTCCAAGCCAGAGCTGGAGCTGGAGCTGGAGCTGGAGGTGGAGGTGGAGGCGGAGCCGGAGCCGGAGCCGGAGCCGGGTCCGGGGCAGAATGGGGCGGTCCCTTAGTAGCCCAGCCGGTGGTCCAGGTGGCCCTGGCTGGCAGGCTATGTGCGAGTCCACCTGAAACCAGCGATGAGAGGCTGGACTCCCAGCAGCAGCTGGACCTGGGGGTCGGGGGGCTCCCTGCCTCGGTCCTGGGCACCTTCCCTTGCTCTATCATGCTCTGCTTCCTCAAGCAAAACTAAGGTGTGATGTGAACAATTTGTACAAGTTTTAGAAAATCCGGGCCCTAGGATGGGCCTCCTTAATCAGGCTCATGGGCAGTAGGAAGCTCTCGGGGAGGCGGGCATTTTCCGCTGGCCTGAATGGACTCGCCTCTTGGACTCCGTCCTTCACCGGCAAGGTTTCAAGGGTCCCAGAAACACACTGTACAGGACAGAAATCAGCCTGTCCCAGGAGACCGTGTGGGGGCCTCGGAGCCACTGGCTATGCAGCTAAAATCCGAAACGGCAGCTGTGTGGTTCCCTGCCCTTCTGAGGGGGCTGTCCCAGGAACGGCCCTCCCCTGGGGCAGGGTGTGTGAGCACCAGGCCTAGGGCACGACCCAGGCCTGCTGGCCTCCATCTCCGTCTCCCACGGCTAGGTCTCCGGCCGCCAGGCTGTGGCCTGGACCACGCCTGTGCCTGCAGCCCCTAGCCAGACCTTTCCCGGGAAAGACTGGGCAGGGGGACAAGGAGTACAGATTCTGGCCGGATGTCCCAGACACAGGCAAACAGGCTCCTCTGAGACCACCTGGTCCCAGCCCTGACATCAGCCGGAAAGAGGACTGACTCGCCCAGGACCATGGGGACCGGCGGGGGAAAGGCCCCTCGGGTGGCCAGTCCCCGCCTCTCAGCATTACCAACACGAGGGTGGAACTTGGGGACATGGCTTTAGCCCTGTTTTTCCTGTACCAATTACAGGAACCCCTGCAGGCCTTCCCTCCGGGCTCGGAGGCAGAGGAGTGGACTCTCTCCCCTGGCAGCTGCCCACAGAGGGAATCAGCCGGTGTCTGGCTGGATTAAGACGAGGTTTTTAAAGCAGCAAGTGGTCAGGCCTAGACGATCAGGAGAACCTGACAGAGGACGAACGCTGGCTCCAGGGGCCCGGAATCCCCGACAAGCGGCCACAGAGGAGCCGCGGGGGCCAGGCCGCAGCCCAGCGGCAGGGCTCTCTCCAGGCAGGTCTGGGAGCTCCTGCTCAGCCCTGTGCCTGCCTTTGCTGGCCTCGCTCTTCCTCTGGGCAACGAGACAGACGTCTCTCCAGAACAGAGCCCTCCAGAACTGGGCTTGACACCTGAGAAACCACAGGGGCACCCGGGCCTGCTCTGTTACCCCCAGTCCTCAGCTTCCTGTCCCCGGCCTTCTATGTGGGACAGAGGCTTAATTCGCTGCATCTCAGAAAAGCCACACAGCCCGCGAATCTTTCCCAATTTGGCTCGGGGAAATCCCCAGGGACGTGACTGTTGGCATTTTCTCCATCTAAGCAAATGCCAATCTGAGCAACAGCTCCAACACTGACTTCCTCCTCATTTAGGGCCCTGTGACCAAAGATAAGAGTGTGACAATTTAGATGGAGAGCGTGTGTCCAGGCAGGAAAGAGAAGGGGCTTCGATGGCACGGTTCGGCCACTCCTGTCTGCTCAGCCTTACCTCGCCCCAGCAACGGCACGGAAGGGTCGTCAGAGCTACTATCACAGCAATCATTACCATCCTCCAGCTCGCTGTTGACCGTGTTGCCATTTGCAATGGTCTTTTGTTTGATTGTGAAAAAGGCCTGCATCTTCACGTTGTACCTGAAAGTGAAGGCAGGGCGGGGGTCAGCGCAGCAGGAGAGCCCCCGGCAGAGGCCTCCCCCTCCGCTCGCGCCCCTGCACACGTGGGCTGTGGAACCACCTTCAGGCTGATGGACCTGCCCCTCCCTTCTGAGACATTTGCGGGCTTCTGGGGGCATAAAACACCTTTAGCCCAAGAAAACGACTGATATCTCTCACTGCAGGTCACCAGCCTGTCCCGAAGAAAGGAATTCAGCTCAGCCTTGGGGACTCGAAGGAGGCGTCACTGGACTTGTCCTCCCTCCCACAGCTGAGTCTTTGGGCCGTCCCTGCAACACGGAGAGCCAGCACCCCCACCCCACAGAGAAGACCCTGTCCATTTTAGACCCCCGGCTGCCCACCTTGCGGAAAGGCGCCCAGAGAGCACATCGGAGAGGGACAATTCTCCTGCAATGCGACAGTTTATCACCCATTTTTATAAAACATTACGATTCATAGCCTCCTCAAACTCAGTGTTTTTTCTTTTTAATTACCTGAACAAGAAGATAAAGCCCGAACATGGCCCACCTCACGGGCAGTGCTTCCTTTTCCTTTTTTAAAATGTGTTAAAGCATATACAACATAATATTTGCTATTTTAATTATTTTCCATTTTAAGGTGCGCAACTTGGTGTGTATGTAATTACATATACAATGGGCAGCCATCTCCACTATTTCCAAAACTGTCTCAGCATCCCAAACAGAACTTGGACCCACTGGTCAATTACTTATTAATTACTCCCCTCCTCCAAGCACCTGGTAATCACTAGTTTGCCTTCTGTCTCTGTGACTTTGACTCTCCCAGGAACCTCACTAAATGGACTCAGACACTATTTATCCTTTTGTGACTAGCTAGCTCCTTCCACTCAGCATAATGATGTAGCCTGGGAGAGGATTCCCTTCCTTTTCCAAGGCCGAGTAATATTCCTCACAGGTAGTTGAGGTGGTTCTGGACTGGGCAGCTCCCAGAAGCCCACAAGGGTTCACAGCCCTGGACCCCGTGTCTGCCTCTTCAACACCGAGAGTGGCGCCCCCTGCCGCTGCACATGGCGGTGGCCCCAGGAGGTGGCGTTTTATGAAGCCCGGAGCAGACGTGAGGCTGTCTGGCTCTTGTGGAAAGAGTGGTGTTAAATTATCAGGAGATTCACACAGACAGCAAAAACGAGCGGTCGCCCTGGGGCATGGGGAGGCACTGAAGTGGGGTGGGAAGGAGGCCCTTGCTCGCTGCTCCACCACCAGCCCTGACCCCCCTTGGCCAAGTGTGGACAGCACCCCAAAAGAACCTCTCCCCCCAGCTCCGGAAGCCCCGGTGGGTGTCCCCCAGAGAACTGGAGCCGCCGGACGCAGTTGAGAGGTCTGACGGAGGTTTGCTCCCTGCCGTAACCAAAGGCTAGGGCAGCATCTGAATGAAGGCATCGGAGAGCCCAGGAGGAGGAGCGACAGGGCACTTACTTCATGATCAGAATGTAAAACATGTACAAGATGATGAGCACCAGGGCTTCCCACCTCAAAGAGAGAAAGGAGACTGAGGTTAGAAGGAGGCAGGCCAGTGTGTTGCAGGCTGGGTGTTGCCCATTCAGAGGGTGAAGCAGGGCAGGGTGTCCTTAGACCTTCCCCGTCCCTGACATCTGGCCCAGGATCCAGGCATGTTGGTGAGCCGCCTCAGCCCAGGGCTGTCCTCCAAGCTAATGCTGTCTTGGTGACAGAGAAAAGGCTGAGAGTGGGTCCTTCTCCATGACAGGGGGTCATGGGACTGAGGTGGAGTCCCTCAGTGATAGAGAAAAAGGAGGGGCCAGAGCCACCGCATCCCGGGATACAGGGAGGGGAAGGGCCTGGAATCATACAGACTTGACACTGAGAGGCCCCATGATCACCAGAGATTCTGGCCGAGGGGTAGAGAAGCTGTGGGTGCAGGCGGGAAGGGGCCCTAAGGACCGCTTGGAGCAGGGGCACAGGACCTCCTGGGCTGCACGCGGGGGCAGGGGACGGGGGTCTGAGACACACGGATACTGCTGTCTCACATAGAATACATTGTGGTGGGATTTTTGTAGCTCTGAGGGGCCACACAGCGTTGGTTGGTGTTCTCATCTGACAAATGTGTACGAAAGGCCTATTACATACCCAGGCCCGGCTACCGCTGTTTTGGGAGCTTTTCCTTGGCTGACAAGAGCCCAAGGACCAGGGGAGCCACAAAGGGACTAGCAGGTGATCTGGCCTCCACCCCAACTCCATCTACAGACAAGGAAAAGGAGGCTGGGAAGAGGAGCGACTCTCTGGCTCGTGTGGTGGGCCGGGGACCAGGGGCTGGGCCGGGGCCGGGGCCAGGTTTCTCTGGGCCCACAGCTCCCAGCCGCCCCATTGGACCTCCTGAATGTGTTCCTGCAAATAATTGCATTTGCGATGCCAACTGTGATCCACTCTCACGCAGAGGACATTTTTATGGCTCACGTGAAGGTGAGGTACAGTCACGCTCTATGGCGTGAAAATATCACTTTCTTTAAAGTGTGCATTGTATGGATCTTAATTAAGGAATCATTTCTGGCCTCAGTGCCATGAGGACGAATCCCCATGCTTTATTCTATGTTATTTTAATTTTGCTTTTTAGAGTGAGATCTGTCACTCACCTGGAATTTATTCTTGAATGAGGTGTGAGGGAGAGATCTGATGTTATCTTGCTCTCTGTATGGATTCCCGGTTGTCCCAGCAGTATCTGAGCCCCCTCCCTAACAGCTGCTTGTCGCGACACCTGCCATGTCCCCCAGCCCTGAGATGGGCCCATGACTGGGCCTGCGCCTATCCCTGTGCAAAATACCACACTGTTTTCGTTATTTATCATATACCTTGATCTCTGGCAGGGTGGGACTGTTAAGGGAAACAATTTTTGTCACTTTGAAAGGACAAGTGAAAGCATGATTGCTTAGAACAATGCCCTTCCTACTTTCACGAGTTCATAAGCTTATGTTTGTCGATATAATTTTAAAACAATTTCAATGACCCCAATAACCGAGGACACTAACAAAAACTAACAAAAACAAATGGGAAACTTCAAGAACTTACCACACAATTTCTTCATCGTATATGAACTGGAAGGCAAAAGAAACAAAAGGTGGGGGGGGGGGGGCGACATATTTAATCCAAAACCAAAAACAAAACGCACGCGGACCTCTAAGCACCCCGAGCTGACCCGCCTTGGCTTGCTATGTTTCTGCAGAGAGCTGGGCTCCCTCCTCCACCGCAGAACGTGGCCGTGCCTTTGTTGAAACCTAGGTCAGCAGAGCGTGGGCCTCTCAGAGGCGTGGCCTGTCCTTTATCATGGCCCGAGGAGCTGCTGGGGCCAGCCTGGCAGGGGCTGCCCTCATTAATGGAACAGAGTTGCTACAATCAAATCTTGAAAACCAAAAAGACATCCATCCATCCATCTCCCTACCTATGGTGCCCATGTTATTTAAAAATAAAGAGTAACCCCTTTGGAACTTCTGAGGGGCAAAAGGCCCACTTGTATCACCTGAAGGGAGGCCGGGGCAATGGTGGAGACTCCATGGTTTCCTGATCGGGCACTGGCACGGCCCAATAACCCCACCCTGCACCTTTGACACGTGGCATGGATGAATGTGATTGGGCGAGGGGAGGCACTCCTGTGAGCACGCACTGTGGACAGGGAGGTGGAGGGGCTGTGCCCACCAACCTGATCTTGGAGACACCACGCAGGTTTCTACAGGGGAGGCCAGCAGCAACCAGGGGGCTCCTGCCTGAACTTGGGCCCACTGCACCGCTCTCCTGGCTGTTGCGGTGGGTAGCCCACACAGAAGCCGCTTTGGGGCGCTGCTTCTGAGTGAGTCATCTTGGCCGAGCATCGCTGGGAGGCTCCCCAGACTCAAGGCTCAGAGGAGGGGCACTCAGCCGGGGACACTTGCGGGACGTGTATGGAGCTATTTTTAGTTTTTACAACCCCATGGAGGGCTACTGGCATTTAGAGGCAGTGAGCGCCAGGGCTGCTAGCCAGCCTAGAACACGCGAAACGCTTCTATCACAGAAGTTTCCCCGCCTTTGGCACGGGTTTTAAGTGTCCTGCTAAATATTCAGGTATGTGACAAAAATAAATAACCTGAGACTAGAACTTAACTGTTTCTCGAATCAAAGTATTTTCACATGGTTTTAGTAACTACGTAATTTTCTGCTGAAGTAACTGTCATGCAAATAAGGGGATAATTGCACTCGGCTGTGTTGGGATTTTATCAGGAGCCATTCGTTTTGGAAAACTGCGTCATCGGTGTCCGCGCCACTTGGGGCGAGGGGCGAGGGGCGAGGCGCGAGGCACTGGGCCGGCACACCGGCCTCCATCTGAGCTGGGAGTTGGTGGGCTCGGGGGTTTCCCACATGGTGGCAACATTACATCGTCGGGTGTTCTAGCATCTTCCGGCCCAAACCTAAAAGCTGTATTCTTCTGTTAGGACTTTTTACTTGTCCTTTACAGGATAGTTTAAACACTGTGGTTTTGTTGAGGTTATGTGTAGGTGAGTTATTTTATCTATAACTTTCATTTTGGGGGGTGTGATGGTCCACCAGATGGCCCCAAGGATCGCACCGCCTGAAGTTCACGCTCCCCTTGTGAACGTGGCCTGGACCAGGAACTTGCTCCTCACACACAGAATTCGGCAAAAGTGAGGGGCCGTCACTTCTGAGGGTAGTTCACAAACAGGCTCCTTCTCTCCCTCCCTCTGAGGGACGCCGGGGGCCACAGCATCAGCCCCTCCCGCGAGGACAGTCCTGAGGCTGCCCAGAGCAACCTGGTCCTGCAAGCGGACTCTTGCCCAGGAGAGCCGTGAGGTGACTATATCCCGGACGGCACTGGGGACAGAGCCAGCCAGAGCACTCGGCTAAGCCACTCCCGATCTGAATCCACAGAAAACGGGAGGGATAAAGGCTTGTTGTCGTAAGCCACTGAGTTCTGGGGGAATTTCGTACCCAGAAATAGAGAACTAACATAAGGGGTGTGGTGGTCGTCCACTGTTGGTGCTAATCTCGTAAGGCAGAGAACCGTCACCCCAGGGCACAGCCCACACCCTAACACCCTAACATTCTCTTTGAAAATGACCTCCTGCCCCTTAAAGCTCCTCTGGACCGAAACCGCTTCCCTGTGGATGGCACGCTCCTCGGCAGCAGCCCGAGTGTCATGTGCCGTGACGTCTCCGCAGCCGTTGGGGGGCCGCAGGGATGAGCTCACACACACTAGCAAGCCCCCAGGATCCTGTTTCACCTCCCCGGCCCCTGCCGCTCGTCTCTGCTCACCCTGCCCCCAGCTGCCCGCCTCCCTTCCACGTGCAGCGAGCTGCCGAACCAGGAACCCCGCTCGGAGTGGGGCTCCGAACGGTGAGCAACGTCCTGGAGCGTGACTGCGTGGCCCGCGCGGCACATGCTTGGGCTTTCTCGAGGGCTTTCTGCTTTCAACATGTCAGGTGTGAGATTTGGGCAGAAGGGAGGCAACAAGGGCCAGTGGACTGGGAACGCGACAGCGGGGAGCGGTCCGCACACCCCAGGGCTGGGGTGCCGCGGCGTCTCTGGTTACAGGGCCAGGGACAAAGATGAGCAGTGTCCTGGGACTTCAGCGGGGGGAGGAGAACTCACGGCAATGAGCACGATGACGGAGAGGGTGTAGTACACGGAGTCTCGGCACACAGCCCACCACGTCAGCCGGACCACCTGCGAGCAAAGGGCTGTCAGCTGCGGTGGGCCGGGGAGCTCCCCCACCACCTCAGACGCCCCCCTCAGTGAGGGTACAGGGACACGCCCATGGAGCTCCTCCCAACCGCGCCACCAGAAACAAACCTGCCTGGCTGCTCGAGGCCACCCGGTGCTCTTCACTACATTTTGGGAACAGATGAGGTTGTGGAATGTTCGGAAGTGAGGGGAAAGCTGCCCCCAGCTCCTCCAAGGTCACAGCCTCGCACGTGTCACGGCAAAGCCCTATGTCAAGGCGGAGGCCGGGGTGCTGGCTCTCCCCTGGTGCTGGAACCTCCTGGTGGTAACTGGCTACCCTCCTCTACCTCCTTTGGCCACGCAGGGCCTATCCGTGAGCTCAATGCCCTGAGGCCAAGTCTAACAGTCCCCGGGAAGATGGGGTATTAACAACAGGCTAGCTCTATGCTCCCTGCCAGGAGGCCAAGCACAGGCCCCAGACATGTCCCGGGTCCAGCTCAGGTCAGGCTTACGGCGGGCGCTGCCTGGCCCTTCACTGCTGTGGAGGGAGTGCCCGCTCCCGGGCTGGACGGAGAGCCGCTGCTCTTCCTGCTCGCAGCCCACAGACGGCGGGGGACTGTAGGATGCCGCTGGGACACACAGGGACAGGCCCACTCAGAGCCTCGGGAGTCCCGGGCATGGCTAAGGCTGGGTGTCGCGCCTCCCTGCTGCTGTCCCTCATGTCACCGCACAAGGGCAGGGGAACTACGGACCTGGCCCGCGAATAATCCACAAACTCCGATTATACACAGGATGTTGAACACGGCGGAGCCCACGATGGTGCCGACCCCGACGTCTCCGTGGGTGATGAACACGCCTGCAAAGGGAAAGGCATCGATCTGTCTGCAAGGCCCAGGCTGGCTGTGCAGCCTGCGAGGATGCTGTCCCCCTGACCCCCCAACTCTGCAGGCCAAGGGAAGTCGGTCTCACTAGCAACAGGACACCGCGACGCTGTGGGAACGGGAGCGTCCTCAGAGACCAGCGACTCCGGTTCCTCCCATTTCTTTTTTGAGCAGCTTTATGAAGATACAGTTCATATGTCATAAAATTCACCCATTTAAAGTATCAATTCAGCGTGTAGCAGTACAGTCACAGAATTGTGCAACCATCACCAGGATCTAATTTGGGGACGCTTTCATCACCCCCGAAAGAAACCCTGCACCCATTAGAGCCCACACCACCCGTGAGTGGTTCCACCACAGGACCTCCTGTCTCTCCAACTCTCCCCTTTTACAGATGAGGAAACTGAGGCTCAGAGCTGACCCGTGCCTTCACTTGTCCAGGCACCGACCCTGGGCTCTCTCCAGATCCTGGGTCTCCGGCGGGGGGCGGGGGGCTGGTTCTTACCGATGACCGAAGCGAACAGCTCAGGAGTCGAGCTTCCTGCAGCCATGAAGGTGGCACCAGCCACATCCTCACTCAGGTGGAGTTTCTGAAACAGAAATGGCCGCAAGCCACCAGGCTGGGATGTGGAAGCAGTGGACGCACTAACTGGACACTTCGGCAGCGAGGGAGAGACCGCGAAGCCGGCTTCTCCCCTGGCAGCTTCTCCTCCCTCTGCCCTGAGCACACGCCCTCGGCCGCCATGCTGGGCCCTCAATCCAGAATCCTGTCCCCTCCCCCGCCCAGAGGTGAGCACATGACCTGGGTAGGTCAAGGGGAGGTGAGACAAAGCCTTTGTGTACTTGTGCCGGGTCCCTCACTGTTTAGGGGACCCAGGTCAGGTAACTAAGTGTGTGCCCCTAACAACCCACATCCCCAGCTATAAACGCCGCACCAATATGGTCTCCGACAGCTAGGAGACTTCATGCGGGTAAAGGGCAAAGCCCTGAGCAGCCTGCACACAGCAGGAGCTTTCCTGTTCCTTGAAACCAAGAGTAAGGTAGAGTAGAGATAGATTCGGATCTTGTATGTGGGGAAAAAGAAGAAAAGGAAGTGAAATCTTAACAAAATAATTAGAAGGAGAAAATGTCAGCCCGCAAAGGTTGGGACAAAGGGCTTCCCCCTGCGGTGGCAGCTCAGCCTCCTCCCTGGAGACACAGATCCCCACCTGGTACCTGCCTCCCACACCCAGTTACAGCAAATGCTCCCCAACGAGCCGGGCTTGGCTGACCTGTGCACAGCCGGCCGCCTGCTGTGGAGCCGGGGGTTCTGGGCGACAGTTAGGCACTGCCGAGTCTCGGGGAGGACGCCACCTGCCCCTCTAATCTGGGGGTTTCAGAGTGAGGCGACGCTGGGTGACTGGTCTGACAGTCTCCACTGCCAGAGTCCTCCTTGGCCTGGCGCTGACGTGCCACGTGTCCTCGGTCACCCCAGCCCCCTCCCAGGCTTGGCTCAGGGGTCCCCGGTCTCTCCCACGTACCTCACAGATCTTCTCTAGAGATGGAACGAAGAAGTCGTCGCACACTATGGCCAGGGCGTAGAACATGTACAGAGCCTGCGAAGGAACAAGGACAGCGAGCGTCAGCAAGGACACCTGGCACCAGGGAGGCCCGGCCCGGCCCCCATTGCGCCCAAGCCAGCTGCCGGGGCAGGGGCTGGGGACATGGGCCGGCAAGGAGGAAGGCTGTGGCAGCGCAGAGGCTTGCCCCTCGGTCCCCTCAGGGACAAAATGGGAAACTGAGGCCCAGAGAGGAGAAGCACTTGCTGAGCAGCACAGGGGACTAACACTTAGGCCACGTGGTCTTGGGCTCCTTCCTCCCATCTTAGAGCAGGTCTCTCCCCACACCAGAGCATGCCTTCGAAAGGGAAGACCTAAGCTTTGAAGGAAAGCACTTAACATCACCATCTTAAGATTTTAAATAAGCATCATCCTGTTCCCCCTTCTTTTTAGTGAAGGCACCATTTCCTTGTTACCATTGGCCACGTGCGGCCAAAACAAATGGCCACTTGAGGTCTGGCATTTCCCCGGGACACTGTTGGATGTTGGCACAGGTTAACGGCCATGGCACTGGAAGGTTCATGGGACAAAGTGTGCAGATTCTAATGCTGATTCTAGGACTTATTTGCCATGGGACTTTGGATAAGTTACGTCTCTAGGTCTCAGTTTCTTCATCTGTTTAATGACAGACAAAGAATAGATTAGTAGTTTCAAAATAGTTTTACATACAGAACCCCTCGCTCGCCCTGTCCACCCCACACAGCGTTCCTGAGCTCATCTATGTGCGAGGCACTATTCTAGGCATCGGGGATATGTGGTGAGGACTCCTGGAGGAGCCTCTGCCTCTTGTAACTTACCTTAGTGGGGGACAAACAGATAGGCAAATAAGGTATCTGTAACTGCCAGGAAACAGGACGTGCAAAGGTCCCGAGGCAGCAGTGTGCCTGATGCACTTGAGGAACAGCAAGGTCACTGGTGCAGGTAAAACACAGGGAGAACGAGGGAGAAATGAGAATGTGAGTTGCGGGGAGGGGCAAGGATGAGGGCCCACCAAAAAGAGATGAGATTTTACACTGCGCACTGGGGGAAGTCACTTCTTTCTTCAGAGAAAAAATATTATGAACGCCCCGTGCGCAAAAGAGGGAAAGCCTGGGCTGCTTCCCCCACACGGTGTGATCCTCCGACAACTTTAGCTACTTACGTACAACTAAACAAAATGGAAGATGCATCAGCTGTGGCCAAGGTATCCAAGGCAGGTGGCTACTGGAGTCCAGGTGTGGCTGCCCTGGGTCTGATTACGCTTTGGGGTGGGGAGGTGGGGGGGGGCAACCCTGGGGGTTAAGGTAAAGGGAAGAGAGTGAGGTGGGAGAGACCCCGCTACAAATCTCAGGACTCTGACTTGAACTCACACCCCCAGAAATGCCCTCCGACATTCTCTCTCAGGCCAAGGGTGTCCCATGAGGCCAGAGCCTCAGGCTCCGCTGACATCTCTGAAACACTGAAGAGGAAAGGGGGCCAAGATGGCGCTATTATTCCCACCGCTTGAACTGAGAGGTCCTGAGAAGCTTCCTACACCAAAGCTGGCTCCAACGCTAGGGCCTTCTCTTGCCCTAAAGAAGGGGTCAACAAACCTTTTCTTAAAGAGTCAAATACTAAGTAATTTAGGCTTTGCAGTCTCTGAAAAGCAGCCATGGAATGGGCATGGCTGTGCTGCAATAAAACTTTATTTACAAAGATAGGAGGTGGGCTGGATTGGGCCCTCCAGCCACGGTCTGCTGGTCCCTGTTTTAAAGGGTTCCTTAAAAATTCCCGAGGTGCACAAAGGTTCAAGAGTGTTTCAGCAATGCCAAGATTTCATGAGGCAGAGAACTACAGGCCCTGTTCACCAAATCCACACTCTCTAAGTGGAAGGGGGAGCATGAAAAAGCCAGAGAAGCCAGGAGGGTGAAAACTCCACTACAGAAATTATATAAAGGCCCGTCACTCAAAATTTCCCTACAATCTTCATTCTAAGCTCCGTTTTCATTAACAGTGCATATTCTGTTAATTAAATCTTCACTCATTCATTATTCACTGGTGGCTACTATCACTGTGAGAATCCCAGCTTTTACTTTCTTAATTATCTCTTGCAAAGGCTAATATTTGGTTGGGTTTAAATATATAAGCAGATGGTGCTGGATGGTCGGGAACCTAATCAAGAGGAAAATGTGCTGTGTTTGATCCAACGTGGCCACCTTCATACAATGAGTCTGGCAATTTTTTGCCAAGGGACAGACAGTTACCTATTTTTAGCTCTGTGGACCAAGGCATCCAAGGGGTGACTGTCCCTGAATTTCAATATCTTTTGGGGGGAAGCAAAAAGAAGTACTGGGCATGCGGGTAAAGTTGCAACTACTCAGCCCTGCCCCTGGAGCAAAAGCAGCCAGTGATAACACACAAATGAATGGGAATGACTGTGTTCCAATAAAACTTTATTTACAAACACAGGCAGTGGCCATGGGCTGTGGTTTGCCCATCCCTGTCAGAGAAGAGCAACTTTTACCTCTAACTTAGGTTTGAACTCCCTATTCCTTTTGTTTGTTTTTAAGTCCTCAGCCAAGGATATGTTTATTGGTTTGAGAGGGAGAGAAAGGGAGAGAGCAGCATTGATCAGCAGCCTCCTGTATGTACCCCAACTGGGGATAGAACCTGCAACCTAAGTGTGGGCCCTGAGCGGGGATTCAACTCGCAGCCTTTTGGTACATGGGATGATACTCCAACTAACTGAGCCACCCGGCCAGCGCTGAACTCACAACTTCCTTTTGAATTGCTCCTTGAGCACCACCGGTTACCATCAAGGCCCATCTGAATACAGAGGGAAGTCTGAGAAGAGCACCCAAGTTTGAAACTACAGTCACGCAGCGCGATGAACCTGGGGGAACCGCAGCCGCAAGCACGGACAGCGCACTAAGGACGCGCCACGTGAGGCCTGCTGCACTGACCCACATTCGCTCAGACTTCCGCGCCTGGGAAGACGCTGTCCGTCCTGTGCTATGAAAGGAGAAAAGGAGGCACCAGAAGACGTCTTGGCTCTGGGGCCACTCACGATATGACACTGAGCAGGCCACCTAACATCCTTCCGACTCCGTTTCTTTGTGGGGGAGGCGGCGCAGTGCCTGCCCTCCCCACAGGCTCTGACAAGGCCCGGAGGAGCCCTCTGACACGCTGTGGCCCCGCCGCGCTCTGCGGGCGGATGGACGGGCCTCACCTGCCCGACGTGCAAGACACCCCGCCCCACGAGGGCCACTTACACCGAGGACGTGCAGCAGGACGGCTCCGTGCTGTCGCTCCTTATTGGAGAACAGGTCTCTGGGGAACTCGTGAATCGCTGGAAGAAAAGACACGGCAGGACGTTAGTCGTCTGCGGGAGGTGAGGCTCAGGGGCAGGTCTTGGAGCAGGACCCGCGGCCGAGGCGGAGCAGGGGAGAGGAGGGCTCAGAGCATTGGTCCTTGTCCCCTTATCCCCTGGACCCCCTCGGGTCCACTCAGGTGCCACGTGTGCTTCCACGAGCATCCTGGGTCATCGCGCACCATGTCATAGGCTCGCCTTTGGCCCCAAGTGTGTCCCTGCCGGGCTGGACACTCCCACTCCCGTTAGGGGTTCTCACTGACCTGGGTGGTGGGCAGCCCCATGAGATACAGAGCTCCCTGCACCGGAAGTCTCGCACTTGGGGTTCAGGGACCACCCCTGCACCCCCTGTGACCCGTCACAAGTGGTCTGAGCAACCTGCCTGCCATTCAGGCCCCAGAGCGTTCCTGGGTAATGAAGGAGCAATTCCTTCTCATTGTCCCCCGCCAGATGACCAACGGATAAGTACTTTGTGAATCTCATTTCGGCAGCTCCCCCATCAGACGCTCCCACCCCCACTTTTCACGGGTCCTCATCACATCAGCTAGACCAGAAGCTTCCGGTACACAGGGCCCTGCCCGGCCCTGCACTGCATCCTCAGTGCGTCGGCCAGGTGGGCACACAGTAGGTTCTCAATAGACCTTAAACATCAATTGAATAAATAACGGTAAACTACTAATAAAAGTAGCCATCTGCATCATCTCGTCTTACGAGAATGCTTTCATTACCTTCGGAAACCCCTTAGGTAACGGATGACTGGGTTCATGGTGGGTGCTTGTTAAATAGCTTGTTAAATACACTCCCAGAACAAAAAATCCCTGCTCTGTGAAAGTCATTTGGCCCCAAGCTCTGAAAAGGATGGTTTCTCCCTTGTATGGAAACTTTTCTGTTTTTTAAGATTAGATTCTCCCAACAAGACAGAAAACATTGGCTCCCCAGACACCCAGAAAATGTTCCCACTTTGAAACAAGCAGCAATTTAATGAAATATAGATCCTTTCACTAGGTTTTTTTTTTTTCCTTCCTGTAATCGAACTTCTGTAATAGAGTTGCTCTGTCAGCTCAAGGGCATGGCTCTGCCTCAAGGCTTGTCGGCTCCCAGATGGAGAATTACAAAGGCAGAGGCGGCATTGCTGCAGCCGGGGTCTTGTTTCCAGGAGAGGGGTTACTGCCTGGGATACTCCACTGCAAATCAATAGACATTCCTGCCATGAAAACGCGAGACAGTTCCTGCTTCTCCAGACCAGTGTTTTGAAAACGGGCCATTTATCCGATCCTGGGAATTCTTTGAAAATCAGAATAAAGTGGTGCTGCCCTGTTGCTTTGAGGACGTTATCATCTGGCCTCCAGCAGGGAGGGAATTAGGGTTATGGATGGCTTTGTCCTTGCTAGGAGCAGGACTCGGCCCCCGCCACAGCGCCTGGCCCTGCAGCCATGGGTACGCTGGAGGCTGTAGAGAGGAGCAAGGGCCACCCCCGGCCCTAATTCTGCCAGCAAAGATGGCAAGCAACCGGCAGAGCTGCCAACGACCCTCTGGGCCGCCCCTGTTTTCTGGCACATCCCGAACCCGTGAGGCGGGCTCTGTAGCCACAGCTGCCCCTGGTTTCCGGATGAGACTCAGAGTGGGGAGCGGCCAGCTCCAGGCCCCCGGCCACGTGAGCCAGGACTCCCAGGGGGACCCCGCGTTCCTCTCCATGGTAGGGGCTGCCTCCAACACAAATGGAAACCACCCTGCCCTGGGAGACAGAAGACCTGGAGAGAGTCCGGGTCACTTAACCCCTCTGTCCCTCTGTTTCTTCAGCTGCCATCCGTGGCCCCGTGAGGTAATGAAATAGTCACCGTTGCTTAGTGCGCGGCTGTCGGAGGCTTGCAAGCAGTCAGATGGCCCCCCCGGCCTCCCCGGCCTCCCCGGCCTCCCCCGCTGGCAGCTGGTAACGGGGACCAGTCCACTTTCCAGGTCAGGGGTCAAGCCGCCTGGAAATCGGGATGGGGACACAGACCACAGGGCGTGCACAGCAGGAACTCTGTTTCTGCCACTGTCGTCACCAATAGCAGCCACTTTGCAGACAGTCTGTGTCGCGGCTCAGAGCAGTGTCTTCAGAAGCAGATGATTTAGGGTCCAGGAAGTGCCTCTGCCCCTTACTACCCATATGACCTTGACTAGTTGCTTAACACCTCGGGGCTGCTACCCTCTCCACACAGGGTCCTACAGAACCTGCCGGCCAGGACACTGCAAGGGTTCGACGGGAGATGACAGGGATCTTAGCTGCAGGGATCTTAGCTTATAGACTCCTCGCTCAGCGCAAGGTCTGTCCCCACTGCTCCAGAGGACAGGCCTTGGTTTGCAAAGGCAAGAGAAGATAAAGCCAATTTAGTGAGGAAAGGAGTGGGCGACATGAGACGGTGCTATGATCTCAGTGCCGATGGAGTTTTATCCCAGCTTCTGGAGCAACCCTTCTCTCTCGTCTCCTGGGCTTGCTGGGATCCAGAGCCCCAACCCATGTTCAAGGGCATGATGTTTGCATGTCTGAAAGGAGCCGAGCCCACCCCGGCTGTTCAGATCCCCACCAGGGACGAGGAGGAGTCAACAGGACACACACGGGAGGCTGCCGAGGGCGCACCTGAGCCCGGGAGCGCAAAAGCCCCGGGGAGGCGGGCGGGGGTGAAGAGCTGTGTCTGCAGGTGGAGCCCAGCTCGGGCAGCCAGGGATGACCCCAGCACTGCCCATGTCATGGGGTGCCAGCGGGGAGTCAACGGGAGGAGGGGGGAAGGAAAAGCTGTGAACCACACAGCAGCCCCTCCCCACCCCTTTAGGATTCTTTTCTTTGGACCCCAGTGCTCAGAACTGGCTTTTCCGTCACTCTTGGTTCTGGACACACCCCTCTCCTCACACCCAGGGGTTTTCCTCCTTCCTGGCCACTTCCTGCCACACCCCCCTGCCCCGCCACACACACACTGTGCAGGGCTAGGGAGTAGGGGTGGGGGTCTTTCCTATCACATGCCTCCCTGAACAGCAGAGGGGAAACCATGGGTCCCTGGGCACAAAAGCGTCTTCAATCCCCCCTCCCCACCACCAGCTACCGAGCTCTCCAACACTGTATAAACGAGAGCCCTGGGGCGCGCTTGACCTTTTTGGTTAATGCGCTAAGTTACATGGGTGACTCCATTATTTTTTGGGAACACTGAGATAGCATTGCCCTTTCAAGGGTCTGTTCTTTTGCCAGCACTGCTGCTAGTTCTCCAACTGTATTAAGTTGTTCAACCCGTGTTCACCGAGCACCCATGCAGTGGGCGTTGGACTCTCCCTGGGAACAGGTGTGTCCGGGGGCATCCTGAGGCCTGGCAGCACCTCGTCTTGGAGGGTGATTGGACTTTCAGGGAAAGCCGAAGTATTTCAAAAGCAGCAGGTTATCAGGAAGGGACCCTGATTTTGAAGCAGCGCATGTCAATATATGTCTCCTGAGCCTTTACTGGGCGCCAGGCATGGGGCCGGGGCCAGGCCCTGGGCCTTGCAGATGTATCCTTGAGGGGTTTGTTGGGGGAGATGCACAAATAAACAGACCCCTGAGAGACAGTGAGAAGCTCCCCATGCTGGCGAGGAGTGAGCGAGCCAGGGGCGACTGACAAGGGAGGCAGAGCAAACCCACGGGGAGGGTGGCACCCACATCAAGGTTCAAGGGTGGCGTTACTAACCTTTCAAGCCCTTCAATCTACTTTGTCAATCCTGAGATGATCATTATTCCCGCTTTTATTGATGGGGAAATAGAGGCTCTGAGAAGCTAAAGGACTCACCTCAAGTCACATAACCATGGCCCAACATGGGTGAGAGAAGCAGCCAGTGTGGGAGCCTACCTCATACCAGATGTTTTTCATCGGAGCATTTTACCCACAACAGGCATGCACCTTGGACTAAGGACTTGTTTGTCCAAGGAGAAGGCTCTGTATTCCCGAAAGGGCCAAGGGCTCAGACAAGGCGATGCGCTTGAAAGGGGGAATGCGCACTGCACCTTGCAGCTCAATTCCGCCAACAGCCCAGGGCCTTCCCGTACAGAGGTCTAGGCCACTCGTCCATGGGTCCAGGGCAACCTGTCACTCATCTTCCCTGCCTTCCTTGAGACATTTAATAAAACTGACCACTTCCTGTTTGTGCATGGATGAACGCATGCATGCATGAATGAATGGATGAGGGATAGATCATCTGTCTATCCATTCACCCACTTATCTATTTTATACACAGTAAAATTCATTCTTTATGATGTGTGCACTTCTATGGGTTTTGAGACAAGGCAGGGTTGCATATCTACCACCACACCCGAGACGGAATAGGTCCATCACCTCCAAAATTCCCTTATCTGCCCTTTTTGTAGTCAAAGCCTCCCCAGCACCCTAACTCCTGGCAACCACTGATGTTTCCTTTCCCTACAGGTTGCCTTTTACAGAATGTCTCATCAGTAGAAGCACAGAATATGTAGCCTTTTTGGTCTGGCTTCTTGCATTTAGAAAATGCATTAGGATGTACCCCCCCGGTTGTGTGACCCCACCTTCCTGCAATGGTCTCACTTGGTTTCTTTGACCCCCCACTCTCACTTGCCTACCCTCTCTTAGAGGTCCCCCTCCTCTGTGGGACCCCCCAAATGCTGGTGTTCCTGGGACCACCAAAGTTATAGAGATGTAGGTGTTGAGAGGCTCTCTGGGCAAAAACGTCCGCTTCCTCACCCCCACGCAGGATGCTTTGGATTTGATTGCCCCATTCCCAACTCCTGTTCCTTCAGCCCTCCCTGCAACTCTGTGAGCACCAAGTCCCTGAATTTAAGTCCTTCCTGTTTAACATACTGAGAATGGCTTTGGTCTCCTGCTCTAACCACTGATGCCATCACTTTGGGGCTTAACGCGTCAAACATGGGTGTTGAGGGGCCACGATTCAGTCCATAATGTGAGGTCTCTGCAGATGCAATTAGTTAAGTTCAAATGAGGTCCTCC